TTATTATTATTATTATTATTATTATTATTATTATTATTATTATTATTTCATAGGTTCAAAAAACACAAGCAGGCCGGGAGCCACTCCAATTCCTTCCATTTGTCCAACGGCCGCACAGATGACATTGGTGAGTCTTGCTGTCTCTTCTCGGGTTCTGGGGAACTCGAAATCCTAAATCTCACTTTTCGCCAACTTAGACCTCTTCCAAGACGATATCCTAATATTGGGTCGGGCTCCCCAAACCGAGGAAGTCCTGTTGAGTTTCTGCTAAGCCCGTCATGGCGAACCTATGGGCACGCATGCCACAGGTGGCACACACCAGCCATTTGTGTCGGCCTGCCAGCTGCGGGCAAACGTACTGGTCACGCACACGCCTCACCGCTGATTTTTGGCCACAAAGGCTTGAGGAAGGCTTCTGCAGGCTTTGCAGGCTGAAAATCAGCCCCGTTTCATCCCTTCCTGTTTTTCCGGAAGTACCGGAAGTGAAGAAACGGGCCTAGTTTTCAGCCTGCAGAAGCCTCCCTCAAGCCTCTGGGCGGCCAAAAAAGTCCTCAACCCAGCCGAAAATCAGCTGTGAAGCCCAGTGCAAGTAAGGGGGCCGGGGTGGGTGGGTGTGGATTACGCGCGCATGCGTAGGGAGCGTGCATTGCCTTCTGGGTGCTGGTATGCGAGTGTGAGCATGCAAGCCCGTGCACAATTTTAGGCACAGGAGCCCCAAAAAGTTAGCCACCACTGTGCTAAGCTGTATCCTTTATTGCTCCTGGCCTATAGACGGACTCTTGCCAAACTAAAGCAAGCTACTCGTATCATTCAAGATAAAAACCCAGGCCTGATGCCATCTGACGTCGCAAAGGCCCGTAAGAGTTGGCACTTTAAATCTGGCTCCTAAGGGAACACACACACACACACACACCCCACACACACATACAAGTAGGTCTCTGGGAACTTTGAAGGGTTGCTATGGGACTGGACATACGTGCCTGTATTGAACAATATTTTTTTATTGATTTGTCTCTTGCCTTTATTATTCTACAAATAACTCAAGGAGTCAAGCATTTACTAGCACACCTTCCTTCTCCCAGTTTCCCCACAACAACAGCAACCTGGGGAGGTGGGTTGGGCTGAGGGAGAATGGCCTGAAGTCCAAGATGGCTTTCACGGTTAAGGCGGTACTAGGACTGACTGTCTCCTGGTGATTGGCTCAAAATTACCCAGTTGGCTTTCAGGCCTAAAGCAGGACTAGAACTCAGCATCTCCCATTTTATAGCCTGGTGCTTGAACCACTGGACCAAACTGACTTTTTGTAAAGAAGTGGTGCTACTTCTCCTGTGGAAGCTACAAGGCCTTTATGTGACTTGTACTGTTGTCGTCTGTTGGCCACTGGGCTAAAGAGGAGGAGGAGTCAGGGTCAGGGTCAGCACTGGGAGCCCCGAGGAGGAAGAAGGAATGGAGCTGGCAGAAAAGAGAGGGGGGGGCAGAGTCTGGGCCATCCATCAGCCCTCAGGTGGTGAGTCAACAGCCCCCAAGTCTGGAAGTGGCTGATGAGGAAGAGGAGGAACAGCCGAGTCCAGTGCCTGACACGCAGATGCACAGATGGGAGAGGAGAGGAGAGCAGTGGAAATCTATGGGCCGGTCCTTGGGACGGAAGAGCCACCACTGCCAGCAAGACTGGGGGATCAAAGGCAGTGGGGGGGCGGAGATGAACAGGGGTGGCAAACAACCATTCATCTCCCTGCCAGACAGACGGGTGAGCCTGCGGTGAGAGAGAAACGTTTTGCCGGGGCCGCCGGCGCTCCTAAGAAAGGAATCATCGAGTTCACGTCAGAGGGTTTGTCGTGTTTGGGGAGCTGGGTGAGAACGTCTACAAGCTCGATTTACTCGATGCTCTTGCTTTTTCAGAGAAGACCTCTCACACGTACACACACACACACACACACGCACGCACACGCTCTTTCCTCTCCCCTGGGGTCCTCTCCACTCAACCTCAGCGGCCGGGGTCTCCTCAACCGAACCGCTTCTCTCCGTCCTGCAGAACCGCAGAGCATGCCGCTGCTGGCCAGGTCTCCCAGCACCAACCGGAAGTACCCGCCGCTGCCCGTGGATAAGCTGGAGGAAGACATCAACCGGCGAATGGCAGACGACAACAAGCTCTTCCGCGAGGAATTCAGTGTGGGTACTTGGCTGACCCTTGACCTCACTTTACACACACACACACACACACAGACACACACACACACAAATCTCTTGGTCATTCTGGGCTTTGAAATGGGTTTTTTTTAAAAAAAAAAAAACTTATTGTAATGGAAATTCAGTTTATGCCAGTTAGATCATCTTCTACATAGAAATCTTTCTTTCTTTCCTGTCTTCCTCTTCCTTCCTTCCTTCCCTTTTCTTTCTTTCTTTCTTTTTTCCTTCCTTCCTTCTTTCCTTTTTTTTCTTCCTTCCTTTCTTTCTGTCCTTCCTTTCTTTCCCTTCCTTCCTTTCTCCTTTCTATCTTTCTTTTCTTTCTTTCTTTCCATTTTGTTTCTTTTCCTTCTTTCTTTTCCTTCTTTTTGTCTTTCTTGCTTTCTTTTCCTTTCTTGCTTTTCCTACCTTCCTTCCTTCCTTCTTTCCTTCCTTCCTTCCCTTTTCTTTCTTTCTTTTTTCCTTCCTTCATTCCTTTTCTTTTGTTTCTTCCTTCCTTTCTTTCTGTCCTTCCTTTCTCCTTTCTATCTTTCTTTTCCTTTCTTTTCCTTCTTTCTTTCCATTTTGTTTCTTTTCCTTCTTCCTTTTCCTTCCTTGTTTCTTGCTTTATTTCTTTTCCTTTGTTCTTTTCCTTTTTTCTTTCCATCTTTCTTTTCTTTCCTTCCTTTCTTGCTTTATTTCTTTCTTTTCCTTTCTTTTCCTTCTTTCTGTCTTTCTTGCTTTCTTTTCCTTTCTTGCTTTTCCTTCCTTCCTTCCTTCCTTCCTTCCTTCCTTCCTTCCTTCCTTC